TTATAACTATGCAACCGTCTACTACAGTATCGCATCAGGGAGTGCATTGTAGTCTCCCTGAGGAAAAATTCTATTCATTCATTGCAATAGGAGAGGAACAATTGTATAAAATCGTTAAATCAACAACATGTATGTTAGACCCTATACCGACTAAGCTACTGAAAGAATTGCTTCCAGAGGTCATAGATCCTCTTCTTAATATCATTAATTCATCTTTGTCACTAGGATATGTACCGAAAACTTTTTGGCTGGCTATTATTAAACCTCTTATTAAAAAAACGCAACTTGATCCTAGAGAATTAGTCAATTTCAGGCCGATCTCAAATCTACCCTTTTTGTTAAAGATACTAGAAAAAGCAGTATCCTCACAACTATGTTCCTTTTTAGAAAGAAATGGTATCTGCGAGGATTTTCAGTCAGGATTTAGACCGTACCATAGCTCTCATTAGAGTTACAATTGATTTGCTCTTATCATCCGATCGTGGTTGCATCTCTCTATTAGTGTTACTTGATCTTAGTGCTGCATTTGATACCATTGACCACAACATTCTTTTAAATAGACTTGAAAATTATGTTGGCATTCGTGGAATTGCATTAGCATGGTTTAAATCAAACTTATCTGACAGTTATCAGTTTGTAGCAGTAAATGAAGAAATATCTTATCAATCACAAGTTCAGTATAGAGTACCACAAGGCTCAGTACTAGGACCGTTGCTGTTCACTCTGTACATGCTACCCTTGGGAGATATCATTAGGAAGCATGGGATTAGGTTTCACAGTAATGCCGATGATTCTCAGCTCTATATCTCTTCGCGCCCTGATGAAACTTGCCAATTCAAGAAATGAACGTAATGCATAGCTGGTATAAAAAAATTGGATGACTAGTAAGTTCCTATTACTTAATTCTGAAAAAAAAAGTTTCTAATGATTGGATCAAAAACCTCTCCAAGTACTAACCTAGAATACTGTCTAACACTTGATGGCTGCTCTGTCAAGTCTTCGTCGTCGGTTAGGAACCTGGGTGTGCTCTTTGATACCAATCTTTCATTTAAGAAGCCACGTTTCTAGCATCTGTAAAACCGCATTCTTCCATCTTAAAAATATATCTAAATTACGACATACGCATTCAATGAAAAATGCGGAACAGTTAGTTCATGCGTTAATGACTTCAAGGCTAGATTATTGTAATGCTCTTATGGGTGGTTGCCCTGCACGCATAATAAACAAACTACAGCTGGTCTTACTAGAACCAGGAAGTATGACCATATTAGCCCCGGTTCTGTCAACACTGCATTGGCTCCCTATTAAACATTGTATACATTTTAAAATATTGCTGATTACTTACAAAGTACTAAATGGTTTAGCTCCCCAGTTCTTGAGCGAGCTCTTAACGCATTATAATCCTTCACATTTAATGCAATCTCAAAACTCTGGCCAGTTGATACCTAGAATATCAAAATCAACTGCAGACGGTAGATCCTTTTCCTATTTAGCACCTAAACTCTGGAACAGTCTTCCTAACATCTTCCGGGATGCAGACACACTCTGTCAGTTTAAATCTAGACTAAAACACATCTCTTTGACCTGGCATACACATAGAAAATTATACATTCCTAATATTCAGATCAGTTAAATGATTATTAGGCTGCATAAATTAGGTCAGCCGGAACCGGGAACACTTCCTATAACACCCGATGTACTCATTACATCATAAGAAGAATGGCATCTACGCTAATGTTAGTCTTTCTGCTTATTCCGAGGTTTACTGTGATCAGCTGGATCCAGGCCATATCCAGACCACATGGAGGACCTGCGCCTTGACACGACCACAACGCATGATGTAGTCAGCCGGATCCGGGCCGTATCCAGACCAGATGAAGGACCTGCACCTAGACACGACCACAACGCATCCCTTAAGTGTTAGCAGAGATTGTGTCAACTAGACTCTCATCGAAGGCCTCATCGACACGACAGCCATCAGCACTGATCCTCAACAAACCTGTCTACATCCCGGTGTGATGACTCTGATCTTGAACCAGATGGAACTGGATAATATTCTGATTGTTCCAATCCAATCTGACTTCTGACCTGTAATGCTGCCTAAATCATAATCATACACTCTTCGTTAATTGGCCAGAGGAGAACTAGTCCCTGACTGAGCCTGGATTCTCCCAAGGTTTTTTTTTTTCTACATTCTGTCACTTAACGGAGTTTTGGTTCCTTGCCACTGTCGCCTTTTCCGCCTTTGTTGCCATTGACTTGGCTTGCTTAGTTGGGGGCATTAAATTTAACATTTAATTTAATATTCAACAATAATATTGATCTGCCTGCATTGACACTATTATACAAGAACTGAACAGAGCTGGACGATGACATCTCGGTTTACTCCAGAGCGGCTATATATATATATAAATTAACTAAATTAATACCTTTAAAAAAATAAATTAAAAAAATTAAACATCACTGAACTTCTACCAAAAAGACTCTGGAGGATTCTTGTATTTTCTTCTGGAAACAAACTTTATTTGCATTATTTTCCTGTTATCTCTGTAAAGATGCTTTGAAACAATCTGTATTGTAAAGCGCTATATAAATAAATGTGACTTGACTTGACTTGAAAAGCCTTATATTTCTTTTGATCCCAATTTAGATTAAATTTCTGTATTAAAAATGCCTGCATGTAATTATAGCTGTTATTTATTACACTGTTGAACTTCCCTTCACCTTAACCAACCTTAAACTTACTCATACCACCAAACCGGTCCCTAACCATACCCGTATCCCACCTCAACAGGAGCAAAAGTGTTTTACAATACAACATCAACACAAGAAATACATTGTATCAACATTTTTTTTGATGTAAGAGTATATAAATAAAGACACCTTCTTTTATTAGTTTGAGCAATTGCAATATTCTTAAGTTATGTGCTTATATTGCAAGCCAAAATGTTGAAATGTACTTGCGCAGCCGAAGAGGAAAATGGAACAAGTATGTGCTAAAAAAGATATAGACTATCTTATGATTTAGTAGGCTTGTGACTAATAATGGGGAATTTTATCTGCTTATTATGCTTGGTAGAGAGGTGAGTATAACCAATCAAACGGAAGATAACCTTGCTTTTTTAATGCATTTCCAACCATACATTGTAAATATGGGTTATTTTTTGCAGCAGATTAGTTTTTTTTTTAAAGTGACTCTCTGTTAGCCCCTATAAACCTTACCTTATTCCTGTAAAGAGTAACTTGTGGCTGGTGTTATGATGCTGCGCAGCTTCCCTTAGGAAGGGAAGCACTAAAGATTCTAGCGCTTATATTGTCGACCGAGACAGTGGCTTCTTGGATGGGACGCCATCCACATGGGTTAGGACCACTTGAATAGGCAACGGAAGGTTCCCTGAGCACATTAAAGCCATGATGTAACAGAACAGAACATTTCTTACGCATTATAACATACTGTAGTACATCCGAGTGTAACTGATGGTTAAAAATATATAAATTATGGGTGGGATCTTGGTTTTATCCACCCGTTGTTATTGGATGCATGGAGGCAGAAATGAATCTGAGTTTGTAGTTGATTATAAGAAAGGTGCAGGGTTTAAACTGACTAAACAAGTCTGCCATACATCACCAGAGAGAAGTCTGTCGTTTCACTGGAAGATCCAGTTATGATATTTTGATTAAATAAACCAGGGGCGGGACAACCTGTCACTCACATGAGATCGACCAATAGCAAACCACAACCATCCAATGACCCAATCAACTCCCCATGGACAAAATCCAGTCCCGCCCATTTTTTATTTCTTGTTACAGAAGCCGTTTCACTCAGAAACATATCATAATATAGGGAAGAAAAGATTATCGCAACTTCTGCTTCATGCTCACTTTAAACATGCAATATCACTGAGATAAATAAAATAGATTTCATGCTGACTTTAAGTGAGATAGAGTGGGTAATTGAACATTTCTATTTCAGTACAGAGTTTCCTTCTACTTTGCTTTTAAATCTTGATTAAGACATGATTCAATGCAATTCCTGTGAATTTGTTTTTGCTTAAGATTTTCACATTGATACATACTTTCTTGGATCATGTAAAGTGCATAATGAAACCAAATTTAAAATAGCCTACATTAGAATTAGCCAGCCATGTGAGCTGTGCCAACCCAATCTAATAATATCTAACACACACAAACACACTCGACTTTGTGCAAGCTGCTACTGAGAGAGTATTTTGAATATTAATGAGCATTCTCGTGCACTGTTTGTTTAAGAAGGGCCTGAAAACTTAAGAAGGGAAGTTTTTCTGGTCTGGCTGCATTGTTGAGCCTGTCAGTGCAGGCAGAGAATTACAGAGCCCAAGAGAGACCATCATTCAGAATCCATCTCACACAGCCTCACAATGCCCGAATTAACGCAGAGCCAGAGGTACATTGTGCTGTGCACTTCATGACCTTCAGTGCTGTGTAATCATGTAGAATCAACCACAATTCTCACTGTTTCATGTTACTGTGACCTAGTTTAGCCTCAATAAACATTAGCACATTTCATCGAAACTTTCACCATTTTGAATTATTTTCAGCATGCTTTATAGCTGCATTGTCTTCATATGTAACTGATGGTTCTGGTAAGTTTTAGATTCTAAACTTAAATTACTTTTATCTATAATGTATCCACATCTGACAAAACATTTTTGAATATCCTTGTGACATGATGCTTTTGACCGCTTTTGAACTATAACAACAACTGTTTGTATTTACAAGCAGTAATGCTGGGAGCACATTAGTTTTTTGTAACAGCAACAAAAAATGGTCACCAAAAAAAGACAATGATTGTTATATGACTATATATTTTCTTGAGTACTGCATAAACACTCTCTTTGTAACAATGGTGAAGTACATCACTGATCACCCTTACATTGAATAGCACAGGGATGAAAAATCACAGTCACATGATAAAGGGGGCGGGGCTCTCGAAGCCACGAGCCAATAGGAGCGCACGTCAACCCGAGCTCTGTAGATCAGGGAATAGAGCATGAATAACGGTACTCCACAATATTTACTGAAATGTTTCATCGACTCACCAACGTCGGGCATCCATGGCGCATATAATTAAACCATTAAACAGCCAATACTGGCCTTTTCGTGTGTAGATTGATTCGAGTAACGTTACTTCAACGCTACGAGCTATTTATTCAGTCTTAAAATGGCCTGGATCTGGAAGGTAAGTCGAGCAGCTGATTGTTTGCCTCGCTTTATATTCAGTAATGTATGAATGCGCATTAATGTGCTGCTCAGATTACATTATTCGCAATGTTGGTATTTTAAAATCTGAAGTGTGCAGCGAGAAACGGAGGGTTAATGCAAATGTCTCGGTGCTTTTTTTATTGAATGTAACTGTAGAAGCTTCATGTCTTGGAACATTGTTCAAGTGCGACGACACGTGTGATCTTCCAGTTCACTTACACTTTACAACCACATTTACTTGGTTTATGCAATGATGAGACTTAATGTATCCAGAAACACAGACTGTCTGATTCTGCAAAGACCATCGTTGTAAGAGGCATCAAATGCAACAAAGTTTCCCCGTTACATGCACTTTATTACAACCAGTGATGTAAAGTCACGCTTTTTATATCGTCTTGTGGAGGATTTGTAACCTATTCAAAAACAAATGAAGACCTTCATGGATCATGAGACCACCACTCATAAAATATGCGGCTTCAGGGTTTGTTTACTTAGGGTGAATCATTTTTGTTCAATGTTATTTGAAAAAGGACAGTATCGCGAACGAATCTCTGTTCGTGTTTTGTCAGTCTAAAGAAGAAAAAATCACACACAAATTTTTTTGCTTTGTAAAAAATGTTCTTTGCAAACTGTGAAACTTGACATGGGCAATAAATAGTTTGAATAAAGTTAGTTATTTAATACCAAACAAATTATGATATTCCTTTAAAAAAGATAAAAGAACATTAATTCAACTAAAGGCTGAAATAAACTACACAACTTTTGCCTTGAGTCTGGACACATCGATGAAACAAAACAAAACAAAAAATCAGAATTTTCAGCAGTCGAAGTTGACATTTTTTGCAGAAAATCATGTGATTTCTTTCATCTTTAGACTATAATTCCATTGTCTGAAAACATTATTATTTTGAGCCGATTTTAGAACACATTTTCCTGAACTCAAATACTTTCCTACTATATAGTAAAAAACAGTACGCAAAAAGATTCTGAAGTGTCCTTTCGATAGACTCCACTATCCCATGAGGCAACGGGAGAGGATTTATGAATGGTGGTGAAACGACCAAGGGGGTAATCCATCGACCGGAAGTTGAAGCCGGCCGGGTGCCGCCATCTTGTAGCAGAACTTTACTTGCGTTAGCATTTCCATTGACTCCCATTCATTTTGGCGTCACTTTGACAGCGAATAACTTTACATCTGAGGCGTTTAAAGACTCCATTTGTCTATTATTTATTTCTAAAGAAACACGACAATGTATAAAGGGCTCCATTACCTTCTATGTTACATTATGGCCCCGTAGAAACAGATTTAGTAAAAATAGGCTAACGATTGCGTCATAACCACTCGACTCTCTGTCGCGCTGTACAGAAATTACCGTACAGACAGGAGGAGAAGCTCGCAGGCGATCGGGGGGGCGTCCCGTCAAGCCCATAGATAATGAGTCCATAAAAGCAACGGAATACTTACTCCTGCTCACTCACGCCAAAGAACTCTTTGCTCAAGTTCCCCGTCTCTGCAAGATTAACGTTGGCAATTTTCACGCACAGCTACTAGAAGATTTCCGTCTGTCAGACAGGTTGCTCACGTCATCAAGCTTAGTTTGAGTCAGTTTGAGTCTGCGCGTCAGGAACGGAAGTGCTCAAAAATCGCTAAAAATGGGCTTCAACTGTCTCAACTGAGTTCCAATGAGATGGCTCTGTCCACTTCTTATACTGTCTATGGAAACGACGCAACTGATGCTAGGTCACGTGACAGTAACATGGCGGATGAAGTAGCCTACGGAAATTCATTCATACTACCCATATTCATACTATATACTTTTTAACGGTCGTTAAGTAATTCAGATTAAAATATTGTACCAACTCAGACAGTTTGTGGGTTTGTTGTGTTGGGAACATGTCCTGCATGCAAAGGGTTGCTCGCACAGAGCAAGCATGTTCAACAAGTAACAATTTCGGTTTAAATTACAATGTTTTATGCCATTGGTGGAAGCTGAAGACATATAATCAGGAGATTTGTGTACCTCAGTTGACTGTACTGTCTGATAAAGAGCTGCTTCTGTCAGCGCTTTATCATCACCCTTAATCTATACGTCTGCATCAGACAGCATTCAGTAAACAGAGAAGAGAGACAGATTAACTATTTAAAGCTGCTCATATAAAATGTATGTTCCTGCTTACAGTATGTAGATGTGAAGTGTTGGAGTTCTGTAGGAGCACATTGCTGTACTTCTGGACAGTTTGGACGGTTTTGTGATGGTAATGTAACCTTCAAGAGCTGGTCAGAGTGCAGTGTGCCACTGAGAGAGAGCCTCTTTGTAATCGCTGAGAATCAGTTCCAGTGTTGTCCACCTCACATGGCTCCAGTGGTCAGTTCTCCACGTCTGCTCTAAAGACCTGCAATCGAGACCTTAAGGAGCAATTTCTACTTTATCTAACCAATTAATTTTGTTTTGTTGGTGTAACTTTAACTTAATATATTTAGGTTGATTCAATAATAATTTGGGTATTTAGCAAAATCAAGAGCTCCAAACCCTCTGCAGTGAAAATTGAACAAATAGAGTCTTTGCATTTACTTTTGATCTGGACTTTAAAGTGGTTTCAAACCTCTTTTTAGTTGTTGATGAATCAGAAAAAGGTCTTGTTTTGTCATTTAATCACTCATATTTTTTAACGATTTTACTGATTTGGTCCAGAACAACAACATATGGTCTCACCCAGGGTGCGAAACGGGAAAAGCTAGATATGTTTCTTTCATATGTATCTATGTCTCATGGAGCTGCTTCGCTGCAATATACTATGGAAAGAGGAACTTGGCTCTGTTCCGCTAAGTAACTGCATAAGAGAGAGATCAATTTCTGTACAGGTCAGTCTATCCTTTGGACTCAAACCTGGCTCTTTTGCAATCTGTCTTTTCAAAAAGAGATCTCTCAACAACTTTACTTTTCCTTTGGCAAGAATATTATACTGTGACTTATATTTTATTTAGAAAGATTATGAGTATGGCTTACAGTTTATGAAAACCCCAAATTCAAAATTAGAATATGAACAGGTTTTCATAGCTGTGAGCCATAACCATCAAAATTATAACAAATAAAGGCTTGAAATATCTCTATATAATATATTAGTGTCACCTTTTAAGTTGAACTACTGAAATAAATGAACTTTTGCACGATTTTCTAATTTCTCGAGTTTCACCTGTAATAAACTACAGCCTTTTTGTGATTTGATTATTACACTAAGCCATATCGTGATTTTAATTTTAGTTTTTGTTGAGATCTGTAGGCTATATATTTTCTGTTTGGAAAACAGAAACTGTTATGGTACAAGGTAATTTATGGGAAACACTGGTGTAGCAAATCCATATTGGATTATTTTCTTTGTGTTTATTCTGACTAATTTGCTTGTAATGACCCACTGATCTTAATCGGTAGATTATGGAGACACAAAAATTGTAATGTGTTTCAAATAGGAAGGATGTCTTATATGGATCTTTATCTAAACACAATGTTTATCTACTCTAAAGAATGTATGCTGCTAGACATGAGTTTTTTTAGACTTAAACAAAATCAAACTGGGTGCAAACATGTTAAACATTTCAGAAAGTATTAAAGACCCAAAGAATCTAAGTCCAGAGCTTATCAGTAAGATGATGAGAAACAGCCAGTTTGGATGAGATTACACTTAATTCTATTAGGCTAATTTTAAGAGGTTTAACTTCTGAGTTGTGAAATTCAGAAATTATTCAGCATTGCAAACTATAATATATTAAAGTTGGCAAAGTTTATATATATAGCCAATTTAGGGACTAATCCAGCTCCCATTAATGTACATATAATTACTTTACTGTCCATCTGGTGCATTATACATTTTAATGGCACTGTGTTGGGGTTGGTAAGAAAAAGTATTTTATGGCTACCCATGTCCTATTTATTTGATAAAAAATAGAGTAAAAACTGTAATAATTTGCAATATTTTTTAAAATGTCAAAAAAAGTTTTCTATTTTAATATAAATTTAAAATTAAATGTATGTTTGTGATGCAAAGCTGAATTTTCAGCATTATTACTTTAGTCTTCAGAGTCACATGATCCCTCAGAAATGTATCAATAGTTGTGCTGCTTTTTGAAGAAACTGTGATAATTGTTTTGTAGGATTCTTTGAGGGTTAAATATAATCTTTACTGTAAATCTTTTGATCATTTTAATGCTTAAATATATAAATTTCTTAAATCTTACTGACCGCAAACTATATAGTTCACCCAAAATGAAAATTTACGCACCTTCATGTTGTCCCAAAACTGTATTCTGTAATATTTTCAGTGGTAGACAAAAAAAAGGCATTTTTAAAGAACCATTACATAGTTCTTTCCCATGCAGGTTGTCAAGCTCCATAAATGACCAAAAAAACTTGCGTGCTCTATTCAAATTGATCTAAAACCAAGTGATAGATTTGTGGGATAAACAGATATTTTAAGGTTGTTATTCATGGAAAAGGTGAACACTGTATATGTAAATAATGTGTATTACAATTATAATAATTTTCATTTTTTACCTATGGTAACATCAAACTGTCTCCACCAAAGAAACAAACAGAGACACACAAAACACACACACACACACACACACAATATATACATATATATACATACAGTATATACTGTATATATATATATATATATGGGTTTGGCCTGTGCAACTCTTCAAAGCACTTGTTTAGCTGTTTAACAAAACCAAGCTTAAAAGGTTGCAGGTAAAACGGATTAGCAAGCACTTTACACATTAACCTTCCAAGAAGACGGTTTACCCGTTAGTAAGTCCACTTTGGTCCTTCTTTCATTGAGATGTCCAACGAGAACTCTCTGTTGTCTGGGTGTGTTTAGTTATGTAATGGTAGCTCGGCTTTGTTTAGGAGGTGGAGAAAAACAGCTAGGCCAGGAAGTGAATGACATCTCATTTGACTGGTAATCTGGCTTGGAATG